GGGGAATGTGGTGCTAGGAGTACAGACCAGAATGGCCCACGTTTCACACATCTGGCAACATGTGGCTCATGTACATCTCGCAGCTGAAGAGTCATGGGCAGCTTGGGCATCTTGCCACCCTAGTTTCCAATTTCACAGACAGGCATCAGGCTGGATTGTTCAAGACCTTGGAGTCTGTATCTTGCCAAGACTTCAACTCCATGATTCAGGAGGATGCGTTTTTCTCTGTTCCAACCACAGAAGTGGCTATGGTGCAGCTGCCTTTATCGTGCAAGAAGTGATGTTCCGATTCCACCTTTGCTGCGAAGCTATTTTCACTTCTATTGGGCAGGCCGAATTGTGTGCACAGAAGAGACCTGTGCAAGTGGCGCAAAGCCAGCCACTGTGTGCCGGTATGAAAATGAAGGCTTTTGCAAGTCATCATTCCCCGGTCAGGATTTAAACATCAGATCTGCGTTCCGTCCCCGTGAGGACGAAACAAGCGGCTTGTCGACAGGATCGGCTTTGGAACACGTTTAATGGGCTAGCAGCTGCTATGAGAAACAGGGAAAACTGATGTGCGCTGTGTGCCTTGTCGCGCATCAGAAGGCTTGCGCAGGGGCCGTTTCACTTGGTCAAAGCCAAAGCGGAGTGCAGCATGCTCTGCGTAGAGGGGCTGACCGCATGGTGGGAACAGAGAAGGCAGCTGTGCCGTGCTGCACACACGTATTTGCAGGAACAATCCCGCGTGATGCTCTACGATCAGAAGTATGTGCTTTGCTCGACCAGAAGGAGGTAGGAGATCTATCAGCCAAGTTTTTGTAGGTTTGAATGGCTTGAACAAGGGTTCATCTCTTTTTGGTATTTGTCCATGTCTCCTTTTCATTGGTGTTCATTCCAGTTTGCGTTCCCAAAATGCAAGCTTGAGTGTCCATTTGTACACGTATCCCAAGGAACTAGATAGGTTTTGTATAGTTTTGTTTCATTTGCATCTTACTATATCTTACTTGTTTAAGGAGTAACCCAGTGTCAGACGTTTGACCTGAGGGTGCTGAGGGGTTTTAGCTTTGTCTTATTGCAGTTTCCGTTCCCTTACAAAATGGTCATCTAGGTACCAGCACGGGACCAAAACACCTTAGTTTGGGTTTCAGATTCTTCGCGCACATCCCGCTAGGTGGAGCAGATGGAGTTCACCAAAGAGCTTTGCGCGTGAGAAGTTAATCTCAGCATTTCTTCTTTTCATTTGTTGAAACAACTTCCAACTGGATGCGGTCGCGGAAGCTTACACCACAGTTGAAGGCTCTTTGTGCACTTACAGCCAGTTCACTTCGATGCAACTCCTGTGGACAAGTCCACTTGAACCGTTTCGAGGGGCGTTGAAGATACACAGAGCATCACAAAGACATACACTTAGATTTCCGAGATGCGGTGGAGTTTCACTCAATGTACAGATACTGAGAAGTGTTAGCGTGGATTGCCTTAAATCAAAGAACTGGATACGTGGGCATGGAAGATATAAGAGGCAAGTTTATGATCCTCCCGCATTTCCTACAGAGGCATCACCTACTTCGATAACTTCTTGTGGATCAGATGAATCTTTGAACGCTACTTCAGTGGTTGATATTGTAGCTATGTGGTATCCTCGTTTGCGTCACACTGGTTAGTGCTAGTCGGTGAGAAAGAAAGAAACCGCGATACCAAGAAGGCCCGCGGTCCATAGTCTTGTGAAGGACACCGGTGTCTCTGGCTCTTTCAGTAGGCATGATGTCAGCGGACCTGTACCGCATGTGTGTAGAGGACGATCATTTTCTGCAGTTTTTTTCTATCCCCATATGAAATTCAGTGAAAGGATGGTGCCGGAAATCTGCAAGACCTCTCAAACAGAGAAATCTCAGACGAAACGTTCAGCATAGCCACACTGGATATTTGTGATCATGGTATCATTGCGCACAGACTCTTTCAAGTTCCATTGGACCTCGGCGGTTCTTCCAGAGCTCCAAGCAAGACTTGCGAGTTGTCCACACGTTTTTTTTTCATCAGTTGAATCTGCGAACTAAGTGCTGAAAGGGCCGTGGGTTCGGAAGGCTAGGCAAGAGGTTGTTGCAGTCTTTGGTTCAACATGGAGGAGAACTGTTCCTAACAAACTGTTCCTGACAACCTGTTCCTTGAGAGAAGACTGCGGGCCTGGATGTCTCAGTCCTCTTCCAAAATTGAAGCCTTTCCTGCCGCAAGCGTGCTCAATGGTGTGAGATGTTTGCTGGACTTTCAGCAGGCCAGCCAGCTTGATGATGTAGGCCTTGCAAGCACATGCAAGCACAAGCAAATTGAAATTACATTGAAACACTTAGAAGCTAGGATCACCAAGGTGAGAGAGGCGTTCGCCGCACCAGTTGTACAAAGTTTGCTGGGTTGCAAGGCCTCAAGCACCCCTAAAAGAAATGCTTTAAGATGACAGACACATTTCGGCCTTTGAACGCCAGCCAGTGAATCCTGTGGCCTCAAGTCTCAAGTCTCAATGTGCAGCCAGAAGCGGCTTAGGCCCAGGTGATCCCAGGTGTCACGCATCAACGCTGCCGGCTATGAGGTGCCTGGGGCGGCAGCTGAGGCGACAGCTTGTGACTGCACCTTTTGGCACTGGCTCTAGACGTTTCAAGCGACACGGGTGCACCGAGTTGTTTAGGCAGTGTCCAAGCAGGGCACATAAGGCTATGCGGCCATGCTCTTATGCTATGCTGTTATGCTATGCTGCTGTTGAATCAGGATTAAATCGTAGAGTGCTGTGCTGTTGTCCATCGCCAACTTGCGTCTCATGCATGTTGAAGACTCTTTCCCAAACCAGTTTTGAGGTCACTAGAAGACCATCAAGATATGCGACCGCGCTTGTTCGAATCCGTTCCATTTATATAAGGTCCTGTCCTCCGGCAAGGCTGCCAAAGGCAACGGCGGATTTATGGTTTAAAAGTTTGCCCACTCAAAACTCTGTAAAACACTGACATTGCGAAGAAAGCCGCTGATTTTCTCATTCCTGAAGTCTTTGCAGACCCCCAGAGCTGCTTAGAATCTTGAAGGCAGAATTCATCAGCAAGTGGCACAGACGACCATATTGTTTGATGCAATATCAGTAGATCAAGGACCTGTTCGTCCTTTCCCAATGAGCCTTTCATGCATGTTGAAGACTCTTTCCCAAACCAGTTTTGAGGTCACTAGAAGACCATCAAGATATGCGACCGCGCTTGTTCGAATCCGTTCCATTTATATAAGGTCCTGTCCTCAGGCAAGGCTGCCAAAGGCAACGGCGGATTTATGGTTTAAAAGTTTGCCCACTCAAAACTCTGTAAAACACTGACATTGCGAAGAAAGCCGCTGATTTTCTCATTCCTGAAGTCTTTGCAGACCCCCAGAGCTGCTTAGAATCTTGAAGGCAGAATTCATCAGCAAGTGGCACAGACGACCATATTGTTTGATGCAATATCAGTAGATCAAGGACCTGTTCGTCCTTTCCCAATGAGCCTTTCATGCATGTTGAAGACTCTTTATCAAGCTGGTTTCGACATCGGCGGTTCTCTTTGATCATGAGAACATGCGACTTTTTTCTTTGGAGTCTCCTTTTCACAAAGCCACAAGCAGAGGACTTGCGCTGCAAGACTTTGCCCACTCCGTTTTAACGGGGCTTGGAAAAGCATCGACCACATCATTTCCTTGCAGGCTTTCATTGGCGCGCAGCAACTTGTTCGAGGCCTGAGTCCAGATGGCAAAGGCCCTTCCACTATTTCAAAAGGATTCAGCATTTGAGGCAGGAGACTTCAAATTCACAGCAGCCTGCACTCTGGGTGTTGTAACTCTGCAGTGCTTTCAACTATACACCAGGATCAAGACAAGTGAACGCTTAGCAGAAGAACCATACCGATTCCTAAGCTGGTTTGCGTGTCTGTTCGCACTTTGACAAACTGTGACATGGCTACGAGATCAGTTCTCTCTTGTGGACATGTTTTTCAAAGCTTGCCAAGTTCGACTCTGCTGTAGAATTGCCCAAGGTCTTTTGCCTGAAGGCAAAGTGTCAAGAGAGTCAAGACCCTTCGCCTTCTCGTTTAAGCATTGAACATTTCAAAGCAGGCTTCTTGTTGAATCTCCAAAGTGATCTTGTGAAGAGAGAAGCAGAAGAAGCCGTTGGACCTTCAATTTGGTGACTCTATCAAGAAAGCTTAACATGTCAAAGTGGCCAGTTCTGCTTCACACCCGCGTCCAAAGCCGATCAAGCCGTGGCAAGCATGTAGCTTTCGCTCAACAGAATGAAAATCTGACACCTGTGATTGGTAGGAAAATCGTCCAAAAGCCTAAAAGTGGAATGTATTGTGTGATTCTCATGAAGCCTTCATGGGTAGCACGCGAGTGGCTTGAAAACGAGTCCGGCGAAATTGATGCAGCTATGACCAGCACTTGTGGAGTTTATAGCCTGGAGTGCAGCCATTGCATTTTTTGGCCTGATTCGTGCCGCATGCAGACTTGCAGTATGTAGCAATGCCAGCGCGTCAGATCGGAAGAAGGAATCCAAGCTGCGTTGTCAGGACAAGCGTCACATGCAGTGACTGGCACAGTGAACTGAAAAGCAAGGCATGCAGCATGTCTCAGTGTTGTGCTGTCTGTGAAGATGACCTCCAGATGCACTTGGTTTGCCAGTTCTCCATGCTTTATTCTACAAGAGGGAAACTCATTTGGCAGTTGGGGCCGGACGTTTTCTTTGAAGTTTGCTTGAGGCCTGCCGCACTTAAAAAAAGTGCTCATGTTTATGAGTGTCCCTCCAGGGCTGAAAGTGTTCTTTGTTGACCTGCTTTTATAAACGAAACTACGATCCGGAGCAAGAGTACCTTGCGGCCCTTAGCAATGCAAAGGTTTCAATCTCAACATCCACACCAAGCCCTTCACATGACGGGTTAAAGCTTTATTTTCAAAAGGTTGGTCGCATGCAGCTTGGAGAAGGCTTTGCACCTGAATTCTGCACGCCCGATACCGACACTGCATGCTTGGAGCCTTATCTTGCTTCCTCTTGGAAGGTGAATCCCTTTGAGTTTAACCTGCGGATCCATGGTAGGGGGCTTGTGTCCATGCAACTGTGCAAAGTCGCAACAAGTTTGCCCATACATTCTTTAAAAGTGTGCTGCATGGCTGATATGAGCATCAGATCAAGACATGTGGAACTCGCATTTTCCAGATTGACTTGTCAGAGGTTTTGCGGCAAATTCTTGTGGGTGCCAGAATGCACTGATGAGCTTTGGATTGGTGATGACGTTTCTTGTTGCTCCTCTATGTTCATGCCAGACGTCACCTCGACATAGTCGGTCTTGCTGGCCAACATTGCAAGTGTTCGGCCTTTGCCAAATGCATTGCGCTTAATCCTCGCACTCCGAAAAGAACGTGTCAGAAGAATTCTGTGTTGTCTCACCCCCGCATCATGTGGGAAGGAGGCTCTTTCTGGAAGGGAAGCTATGCAGAGACTTTCTGGCCTGCTTTGTCCAGGGCATTGGATTACCTGACAGGCGAGGAATGGCAAATGTGTCAGGCCCGTGAAGGACCTATGCGACCTGAGAAGTTTGCAATCCTGCACACGCCCGTCCTTTGCAGGAAAGGTCGCCCCCCGGAACGGTGCCCAACGGATTTCAAGAATTCGGGTCACTTTTTGGACGACATTGCTTGTTTTTGTCCTCGAACCAGATGCATTCTCAAGAGTGCAGAATTGCGATCGGCATTCGTGCCACACGGCATTGCAGCACGGATGTGCCGTCAGGATGCCAAGTTGGTACTCCAGATGCGGGTCAGAAGGCAAATTCTGTTGCAGGTGTTGTTGACACGCACTTCATTTAGGCATTCGTTCCCTCGTTGCGAATGTTTGCCAAACGGTGCGATGTTTTTAACACTGAACCTCTCACAAAGTAACAGGCTCATGGTTTGTGCAAGAGGTGCAGAGTATGATGCACTTGACTTGCTTGTGGACCATGCATGTGCAAGCTCGGTGAGAGCAAGCCCACTAATTGCACCTCACCAGCAGGTATTTGGGGAGGCATGTCCGAGCACAAATCTGCGACTAGAACAGTGGGGGCATTCCAAAGCAACTGCTTTCCGCATTTCAAGATTGAGGGGTTCCAACTTGGTTCCAACTTCCAACCAATGTTTGCATTGCTCAAGACCTGAGATGACTCCTTTGTCAGTTCAAGGCACGACTTTTAGTTGCAATTCCCGCACTATCAGCCCACAACTGTCCATAGGTGTAGGGGCGAGGAAGAAGGGGGAATGCTTCTCTTGAAGGGCTGAGCCCTGTTGCTGTGGCCTGCTGATAGATATAGCAATTGCCTCCCACGGATTCGGGAGAGTTTCCCAGAAGGTTCCTTCAGGAGCATTCAAAAATCAAAAGGTCATGCCGACAAACCAAGATTCAAAACCAGTTGCATTTCCTGTTTGACAGGCCAGAAAGCATAAGATGATGGCGACACCTTTTTCACCTATTCCAAGACAGTTGATAGAAAACAGCCGATGCAGTCGTTGTCTTGAATTCTCGAACAGCGTGCGCAAGCACGGCTTGTGAGCAGCTCAAAGCTATCTGTCCAGAGGTCCAGCATCAATAAGAAGGTTGTCCCAACCAAGATGAGATTGATCAAACACAGTCAATTTCAGCTACAACGAGGGAGGCGGTTTGCCTCGCTGAAGAGGTTTGCGCAGAGAGGCACAGTAAACATCTCATGCTTGCAGCAATGACAGGTTTCAACATCTGACTCCGAAAGCCTCTTTTTGCAAGCCTGAAACCTATGGAAATGGAGCGACCAAAGCACTTACAAGATCTACTCCCAAGATCTTCCGAGCCCGCACAGCTCATTCTTGCCGGGAAGTGAGGCCTGCATTGTGACAGATGCCTTGCCGGACATTGCTCTTATGGTTTGCAGCACCACTGCACAGAACTGCTTCTCTCTAGCTGCCAAAGTGATGGACCACCTAAAGTGTACGATAGCTTCAGAAAGCAAATCTCCAAGTGCCCATTGAGAGCAGCTCAGCTTGATCATTTTGTTTGGGGAAGACAGAATCTTGCCGTGTGTGTTTGCATGAAGCAAAGAAGACAATTGCTGCAGTGAGAGCCCTTTGAATACTGAATTAGGCAATGATCATGCAAACAGCATTACAGGCAGAAATTTCAATGCACCGAGTGCACTGGACGTGCTTTGCAAGCTACGAAGGGTAGGCTCAGATGCCATGAGGACAAGCCTAAGCTCTGAAGCATGCTAAGGCAAAGTCCGAGTCAAGTGCTAACAGATGTTGCGATGTGTCAAGGAGTGTGTAGCTCAAAAAACTCAACTTCCAGCGCGGTTTGCAAGGTTTGGCAGCCACTTTCGTTTGGCGACCTGCTCCAGAAGAAGCAAAGGACCAAATGACACAGCGCATCCTCGCGCAGAACGCACAGAGTCCTAGAGTCTGAAGGATGACCAAGTGCTTCAGTTGGCAGTTCACCGCGCGAAAGCTCACTTCAGCATAATCATAAGGTCAAGACAGGTAAAGAGGAACCAATTCATCTCAGCTGTCCAAACCCTTAAGACCTGAAGCAGCTGCAAGATGACAGAGATGCATTGTCAACGGTACAAGACATGGCCTTGTTGGAACGTCCAGAGCAACGACTCAACTGGGCTTTCTCTGCACCTAGACATAGTCCAAAACGGCAGAAACCCTTGGGAAACTGTGAAACTCGATGATTTCAAGCTTAACAAAAGGACAGCAGTTTCTGCTTGGAAAAAAGGTGGGTGTGTCCTATATGGAAGTGAATAAGACATGAAACACAAGAGAAATGCAACACCGAGGTGCAGTTGATGCATATGTTGCATATGCCAATTCCTAGTTGCAAATCCTGGTGTTCACACACCTTCCAAGAGTGTAGTAAAGTAGACACTTCGTAGTTGTCGCAGCTCATGCACCTTCCGGATTTGTATTCCATCCGTTGATACTGTCAGAACACACCACACTGCGCCAGATTTAAACAAATGGTCCCTGTGTCGCTCCATTTCCAGCAAGTCCCGGATAGGTCAAGCTGCAACTAGGACCACCTTAATCCATGAGATCAAAGTCTGTCCCACTAGCTAAAGACTGAAACACCAAGCACTTTTTCAAACGTTATAGGATTTGGACGGGGAAATCACCCGTGCTGCACAGTAAAGGACCTGTGCAAACAGAAGTGCCAGTTGCCAGATGATGCAGACCTTCATGCAAACTGCAATTCCCAGAGACCTCGCGGTGATGTCACCAATCCATCAAGCTGTGTAATTCTCATCCCGATGTCGCCATGGTACCATTGTGGAACGAATGCGCACCATTCAGGATTCAACATATGTTTCAGCCATCTCAAACAACATACGTTGAACATTTCGAGAAGAATTACTTTATTCGCTGCTGCACTTGGTTTTGAAAGTATCAAGGCAGTGAATTGATTATTTTACCCCAACCACAGAAGCAGCATGCATTTCACAAGCTTCATTGGAAGCCGTGATTAAAAACTCTGATGCAGTGACTGCATTCCAGATGCCAAAGTTGCATCCAATTCCACATCGCAAAGCCGTCTCGTTTCAAATAAAGGGAGATAAACACATGCTCGTTACAAAAACTCTCTTGGTGAGTTCGGTCGCCTTTTGTGGGTGCGCTGATACTCCCCATGTACTCTCTTGCTTTCCCAATTCTTGCTCAAATAAATTAGTTTGCGGATACGTCTGCTCTTCAAGATATTTTGTGGGCGTCGTACTTCCGCGGGCTTGCGCTCGTCATTCATCCTCTCGCTTCAAGTGTTTCAAGATTGCGTGAACGACGGGAGGCAAGCTGATAAACAGCGATCAGGTTCCATTCTACAATCTTGAAAAGTTCATTTGCTTGCAACTGTGTTCGAGAGCAATGACATCGTCAAAGCACCTTGGCCAAGTGGAAAGCTGTTTTTTGTTTTGCCCCGTGTGGGAGTCTGTTGTTGATGTGTAGATACTGTAGAGCTTTGTTTGTTTAATCTTTTACTGGAAGGCGCCTGCGTGTTGCTATCGATGACACTTCCATGGGAGCTATGCGGGTGTCTTCTGGGCATCACCGTACTACCATGAGTGGCCGTTTACCGTTTTGGGCATAGGGTCTTTACTCGGATTGCATTCGGGCTCTGTGAATTAGCACACCCAAAAAAATTAGCTTGGCTATTGGCAGACAGATAGGGTTGAAGAAACTGGAGCCCTTTTAATCCATTTTAACTTTAACCCTATTACTGTGACACCACCATTGAATTAAATTGAATGGCACATGGTAACATAGGGTGATACCTTGGATACCATTTATGGTGACGTGCTGAGACAAACCAAAACCGTATTGCTGTTGGAAATTGCGTATCCTATAACAATCTATAGGATGTGTGTGTGTGTACGGATGTCTTTTTAGCCTGAGAGTTCGCGTGCCCACCCTCTACACCCACTCTTTCTTGAGGCGGTATGCTGCTGTGTGCTTGGATAAGGTTAGCTTCAACCTGGGATGGGACAAATCAAAGGTTGATATCAGACTTGCGACACATAATCTTTGTTATCTTTGCGGTAATATACAACCATATACAACCCATATTCAATTGTTTTCCTTTTGGTTCCTTTTGGGAAGAGGTTTCTCAGTAGGTTCTGGAAGCTCCCGTTGCCGAGGTCGAGGATACAGAAATCTCAGGCGCCCACGGCTTCCATTCACACTGCACCTCTTCGGCTTTCACCTTTGAGGGGGGGATGAACGTTCAATTTGCGACATTGCCCAAGGACCAAAGATGTAGTCTGAGCTATTGAACTGCGCTTGATGAGACTGAACATGAATCCTTGAAAGCAGCGTCAGTCAAAAACCTGCGAATTCGATAGTGGCGTCCATCTGCACTGCGAAAAATGTTTTTTGGCATGATAGATATGAATAGATATGATAGATTAAATCATCGAAGGAAGTTTAGAAGTCAAACTTCCGACAATATGGATAGATGAAAAGCAGAGATGGGAAGAGTCAGAGAGAAGAGAAGAGTAGAAGAGAGAAGAGCAGAGAAGAGAAAGAGTCAGAAGAAAGAAGATGCAGATGCGAGAAAAGGTAGGAAAGTCGCGAAACACTGTGTTTTTCCAATGATTTGTGGCTCCGGAGGGTCAAAAAGCAGGCTCGCTAAAGCGGCGGGTGCGGAGCCATCTGGCCAGATGAGAGATGAAAAAATTGCACGCCATTGTGGCGCGAAGCACATTTCGAAGTCAAAATGTACAAAACACACCAGCTCCGGACCACTTTTGGAAGTTGAGATGTCGAAAAATTGCACGCCGCTGTGGTGCGAAGCACATTTCGAAGTCAAAATGTACAAAAAAAATCCTCCTGGGAATTTAGCCTAAAGACTTGAGGACATGATGTCTTTAAAAAACTGTATTTTTTTAAGGACAGTTTGGCCGGCAAAAAAAACAGTTTCATTTTTTAAGATGTATACTGTTGTTTTGACGGTCTCCTATTCTTTAAAAGGCCTTCCTAGGAAGATTCTAGGAACTTGTTTTTTTGATATGTTCATCAATGTTTTTGGGATTGTGTGTCAAATGAAAACCAGCTTGCCTGCCGCTTGAACAGATGCTCACAAGCAGAAGACGTGAAGGTGAGATGGAAGATGAAAACGTGATGAGTGAATGCATGTAAATGATCCCCCTTGGAATTTCCACTAAAAAATGCAACAACCCGGTTGTCGCAAAAAACGTTTTTTTTAATGCAAAAACAGATGATTTTTCCACATGGCTAACCCGGAGTCCCCATTTTTTGCAAAGGCTTCCTAGGTCATGATTTTTTAGAGAGAGCATTTTGAGGGGCAATAGACAAGCTCTTTGAATTTTTGCGATTTGCTAGAACTGCTGTTGTGCGCCGGCCATCGTTTGTATCGCAGATGAGCCAAACAAGTTTCAACATTGACAACACATGTCAACTGATTTTTCAACAAGGACATTCTTCAGGGACGCCGGACTATTGCACGTTTATGAGCGTTTGAAAACAGCGCGTTTGAAAATCATATGGTGTTATCCCTCTTGGAATTTTCCCTGAC